AGCACCAGAATGAAAAGGCCAGTGCGTAAGATTTATCGACATCTTCAGAGGAGATTTCAAATTCCCGGTCCCGGCCATTTCATTTTCTTTTTTTGTCGACCTGACTTTCATGTGATTTTGCAAGATAAGATAAGATAAGATAAGATAAGAAAACCTTTATTAGTCTCGCAATGGAGAAATTCCCAAGAATAAATAAGCCCCAAATTACACACCACATACTCGCTGATGAATGGAACAAAGAATATCCAAAATGCCGGTATCCTGAAAGTGTTGTAACAATAAATATTATATAGTCCCTTTTTCTTTCTTTCTTTTTTTTTTAAATCTGATCATGAAAGCAGAACAAAACACCTTTTGTGAGTGACTAATAATGTTCAATCTGCATGTACATAAATATATAAAAATATGTGTCCAGCATGTGCATATGGTATATCTGCCTCTGCACTTCCAGTGATGACAGGCACGGCTCTAAAGAACAACAGCGATGAGTGTGGATTTTTTGGACCACCTCTTCATCAGCTGTCATAGTGTGGCATCAAAGCAGACTGTGAAATGGTCTGTCTAGACTTGACGTCATATCATAGTCCAGTTTACACACACGCACACGCACACACACACATTGCAATCTTGTCACCGTGTACCTGACAGTAAGCCGAGTGAGAAATATTTGTCACGTTTGTAATGGACATCATATCCCAATGGTCAAAGACTAAGATTTGATCATACTTGATTCAGTTTGTCGGTTTTGCTGCAGTTATCAGAGCGACCTCGCAACAAAACGAGACTCGCTCGAGTCTCCCTCTGTAATGCACAGTTTCATTTGGGTAAAATAATGGGGATAAAACGTCTGGGTTACTGAAATGTAATAAATGTGCAATCAATACGGTGTGCTAGGCATCACAGAAAATGTCTTTAAATGGTTTCAGTTCAACGAGATCACTACAAAAAAATGATATTACTGGAAGAGATCAATCAGAAAACCTCTTTAAATTCATATCTGATGCCCAAGTGTACCCTTTTAGGACCTGCAACTTGTTTATAGCATTTTTTTTCCCTGTGACTTTCACAACAAGGACATGTCCCCTGTTTGTGTTGGTCACAGACTCTACATTTAGGACAAAATTCTGAAAGGTAGACAAACATGCATACTTATAACTGAATTAGGAGTCGTTTTGTAGATAAATGTAGGAAAGAATACTATTGTGTCCAAATAGTAGTGTATTTTCTTGTGTCATTATCAATATTTTCACTTCTGTGTTCTCTCCGTGCTGCTTTATGAACCAATGCGGCAAAAAAAAAACTAATTATGCAGTTCCTGAAAGTGTAGGTTTTCTCAAGATTTTACAAGCATAACTTTAACCACGTTCCACTGTTCTTGATCAAGAAGTCAGACCTTCACCTGCAACTTACGTATCGTTGCTTAACCCAAGGGTGTAACTCTCTCTGCATTTGAGTTCACGGGCCGGGATTTGTCGTAAGCTCAAGCTGTCCTTTAAACCAGAAGCCCAAAGCGGCTTATGAGCGGGGAACTCTGATGTATGATGCCTGTAATACTTGAGGGTGCTCTTGACATGCCCGGTGCAAACATGCATTTCTCACTCAGGTGTTGCTTTGTAGCCAGTTGCTCCTTTACTGTCGGCCAACCCCTTGCTAAGCTTTGCTTACTGATCTGAACACGTTGTCTGCCCTTGGTGAAGTACACACACACACACACACACACACACGGTCATGACCAGACTCTACTTGTCCTACCTCGTTTTTGAGCAACGCTGAGGCCTACTTTGTAACTATTTTATAATGTTGATAATTTTGGTGGTCCTCTGACAAATAAGTATTATTTAGGTGGTATTTGGTGTCAAAGCTTCACGAATCACTGTTCTACAGCAAATAAAAGCAGTTTATTAATACATTCAAGCATCCCATAAAGATGAGCGTCTTTAGTTTTTCATGTGTAAAGTACAGTATTTTCTTTCCCACATTCATCCACTGGCAAATCATTAATTTAGCAGCTGTGTCTCCGATGGACTTTTGAACCTCTTGCACTTAAAAGACAACCGTATATGCAAGACTTGATGCATAGTTCTTTCTACGTGGTAGGCATTCAAGGGAGCCTTCCGTCGCAAAAAGGAAGGAAATACATAGAAAGTGCTTCTTGCGTTTTATCCGACCCCTCTGCCCATGTCTTAGTCAAGGATGAGTGAGCAGGACAAGCCGCAAATGTAGCGTGTAAAGCATGTTTTGAGGCTTAGAAATATCAACGCTTGCGCCTCACATCTTGTATCGTTTTTCCGCATCATCGCAAAGTAATGCAAAATATCACAAAGCTAACACAGGCATGTTTGCTTGTTCTACAACCACTGGGAAAGAGCTGAAAATAAAGAGAGGCAAAGTGTTGAGCAAGTTACAAGGGGTCGTTAGTCAGGCAACCCATTGGAAAGACTCATTATGAGCACTGACAATTGGAACAACACGCAAGGTTAGAAGTTCCCCAGACGCCAGACTTACGTCTCGTATATTTGGAACAGGCGGAGTCAATCTTCACTCGACTAAACATACGGGAAGTATGTCAACGTTTCACTTGAAGCGGCAAGCTCAACCTCATTCCCTGAATAGAAAGCTGTCAGTGGAGGTGTCAAAACATCATACCTTCACACCCTATGAGGGGCCGCTCCAATGGCGGGAAGCACAAAATCTCAAGGGAAAATGGTAAGACGACCCAAAATTTTAGGAACCTGGTTTTCTCTTCTCACCCTCTCGCCTTCCCATCAGGTCAATTTGGCCTAGATCAGACTCGATACCTAACTAATGGATCAGATTGGACCATCCCTAAAAAAAGGTGCAATAATATACCAAGACTTTACCTTTGGCCACAATGCACGATGCAGGATTCTAGTTAAGGTAAGCCATTTTTAACTAAAAAGAAAAACTCCTCTGTAGTTAGAAGTTGAAGTTTTGTCGAACAGGAACTCGTTCGTTGCAGTCAATATTGGGTACACTCTGACGCCCTAACACCACTCTGAGAGCGTGTGTGTTCGGAGAAGCAGAGTGAGCTCCCCTCCCATGAATTTCTGAATACACCTGTTATAAAGCAATCAGCGGTTCGTGCAAGAAGTGTTTTCATCTGCACTGCCTGATGCACTGGGCCCCCACTTATTTTTTTGAGGCACTGTGAATAACCAAAAGGCACATTTGAACTACGCTCTGAGTTTCCGAACGGTCGGAGTGAAACAGTGTGCGCTCAGAGCATATGCCCGAACACACCCATGATTAGAGAATGGGGCTAGCTCTCTAACCTTAGTCTTGGTCTGAACACTGGAGTGACTTATAGTCCAAAAAATGCGGTACGCAGACAAATACATTTTTACCAAAGCAACCGCAAACTTAAATGCACTTTATTCTATACCACACCAAACTCCACAAACACCCTCCTGCTCTCGCTTCATTTTGCGTCATTCGATACAGTACCTATAATGATCATTAAGAATATTCAAAGGTTTCAAAAAACACTGTCAGTACAGTATATTTTTTTAAGACTTACAAAGGCAACAATAGAAGAACCTCACTGTCAACCAATGTCACAGAACATAATGTGTCCACTGAAGTATAGAAAAACAAAGGACTAAGGTTGCTAAGAGGCAGGAGCACAGAAAACGAGTAGATCGATTCCAGCATTTACGCCAACCCCTTTAAATCAAAAGTGTCATCCGCGAGAGAAGCCTTTGACACAAACCAGAAAACCCTCTTTCGAACCCCATCTAATGTGTCCAAATTTGGTAGCGCTCCCATTGGTCTTCGCCCAGTGCCTCTTTGTATGTACTGTACGTGTGTTTCGTCTGCTCAGGAGGCCATGTTGGGTGAGCCGTTAAAGTACACATTGCACCTGTCAAATGCAGTGTGCGGAAGGCAACAATAATCATAACAACATTCATCAAAACAATACATCTTGTGTTGCAGGCCTGATGGTAGGAGAACTTCGAGCACCGACGTGCCCCGCGCCTCAGGCTCCCTTTAAGGGAAGGGGAGGTACTCTTATTGCCTTTCAGTGTGTTTACGTTTCTCCACCTCAAGATCCTCCATCTGTGCTTGTTAAACGGCTTCCTTGAGTGCTGTGCACTTCCAGGAATCACACCGTTTAGATTGTACAGAGCCACACGAAAGAAAAACATCAACAGGTCTGACGTCTGTACGCAAACGTCAGCGTGAGTGCAAAACTGCGTGACGCTATGACGGAGCAAACAAAAAACACACGTTGACCTCCTTTGCTCGCTTACAAATGTAATGATTTGACAACAATGTATTTTTATTTAAGAATGATTGAAACAAAGACACAAACGGATGGCCAAAATGTAGTAAATAAAATTCAAACACATTTTACAATTTATTTACGACAGGCTTCCAGAGGGGGAAGGCCTTTCTTTTATTGAAACATTTTTTAGAAAGTTTGCAGTATATTGTATATAGTGTTTGTCAAGTGAAAGTGGCGTTTGAAACAAACATCAATTGTGTGTCAGAGCAGACTGGAACACAAATCATCGTAAAAGGCACATAACACAAGAAAAAAAATCTTTAATACTACACAGGGAAATTGTTTACAATTGATGGAATTGATGGCAAGTCTCTACATTTTGAATAATCCAAAAGAATGAAATTATTCTACTCTTTTTCATGATTGGTAAATTAAGGTCTCTATTTGGGTTGCATTTGTCGTTATTTGCATGGTTCACTTGCGGACTAATTGGGGCACAGCTTCTGTTAGAGGAATGGCCACTGGATTATAAATCCTGAAACAATTTCATCTATCTAATTATTAATATTGAACCATGTTGATATACCAATGAAAACATTCAAAAAGCACACTGAAAGTCTAGTTTCTTAGTTTCTTTCAGTTAACCGACATCGCACCAGGGAATTTGGCCATGTTTCTCCCTGGTTTGTGGTAGTACATGCACATATTTGTACAACTCAGCATCAGAGAGAAATTGAACTGCAATTTGTCTTACCTCCAAGTTCTTTAACATTCAAGATGGCATTGGGAAATGGCACTGCTTTGATGCTAAAACCTAAGGAGGAAAAACAAATGTCACTGTCGTGAGAGTCAAGATGTTGGTATTATTCCGAGATATTCCCATAATAATTCCAAGGGATTGACGGTGCCATTTTGTTTTCTCATTCAATATTAGAATGCGTAGTATTTCTTTCTGCTGGTGGGTCAGTAGACGGATTGAAAACATATTTGTATGACATAACATTTTGTGTGGTCCAAGTTGGGAGACTAGGACGGGGGGTCTTGGGGGCGTGCCAATATGAGCTGAACATCATGTATTGTGCAGTTCACATGTGTGCTTTTAGGAGGAAAAGCAGCACAGAAAACACAGTGGGGGGTCAAGATTGCATCTGGTTCATGTCCAAATTATACTGACTTCTATTTGTAGACACAAACACATTTTATGTGATCGTGACGTGACTTTAAGAGCATTACAACAGCGAAAAGCTATGAAGGCAGATGTGGGTGGGAAATGGCAGGCACATCTCTTACAAATCTTCCCAGTAGATTTTGGCAGATGGACACGGTGCTGACAGCTAAATGTTATTTCAGAGAGCCTTACAAAGATAATTTTCTGCTAACAAAAACAAACAAACAAACAAACAGGTATTTTGTATCTATGGCAGGTGCAGACAGATTTGCTCTTTCTCTTGTTAAAAAAAACAAAAACAAACAAACAAACAAACAGGTATTTTGTATCTATGGCAGGTGCAGACAGATTTCCCTTCCTTTGAACAACCTCATGCCTGAGGAAGCACATTTCTCCCCAGCTAAGGTACACAGTGACTAAACCTATGATGGGATTTCTGCAACAGCTCAACGCTGATTGCCGACAAAGCCAGAGGAGCCAGAGGAATGTCAGTGACCTTGAAGGGCTGCATTACGTGTATGGCGAGTGGAGCACTGACTGCCAGGAGACTCGTGCGCTCACCACGGAGCCTCCTCTTCTGGACATACTTACCCAACTCCCACTGCGCTGGAAGGGGGAACCTGTGTATTGGCGGGTGAGGTTGCAATCGCTTCTCTGGCATGACTACGAGACAGATGTATGATGAAATGCCCCCGACCCCCACCTCCTCCCCGATGCCGATAGTTGTAATAAGTGGGTTGGTTCAAATTTGAAGGACAGCATACAGTATTATTGAAGGGTTGGGGCAGTTCAAGGCTTGAAACAATTACTGGAAAGCAAAGGTGACCTATTTAATCTTCCTGGAACAGCGGTCTAAATGTTTTGCCCAAATACCTGTGGTGGGAACGATTCCGTCGCCGCCTTCACTGCAGAGGCGCGACAGCAGGCTGGTCTTTCCAGCACCTGTCAGGCCAATGCACACCACATCATACTCCGGTCTTGGCGGTGGCGGTCCTTTACAGCACAGTGCCCGGAAACACTGTAACGAAAACAAACACAACCATGGATCGACTGGAGGAGGGCTCAAATTCTTCAGTGAGACTGGGATAGTGATTAAGTTTCTGCATTTGGAGTCACAAGAGCTCTGAAGGAAGACTCATGGGCCTCCCAGCTGTCTTCATATGAAGGAGGAGGAAAAAACGAAAAAAAAAAAAAATTATAATCGTGTTTGCGCTTGGAAACACTTTCAGAGTGGCAGCTGATGTCGGCGGAGCCAAACAGTTTAACCTCCTTCCACCAGAGTAACACCAACATCTTGAAAGGGGAATGGGATATGGCGAAGAACAAAACCACGACTTTGATTTGTTTAATTTTAATGTCATTGTGTCATAGTGTAAGAGTTATGAGGTGTTTTGGATGGGTGCATCGAAGCGCTGGTGCAAATTATTTGTGTCGTCAGTGCGCGCGTGTGCGTGTGTGTGTGTGTGTGTGTGTGTGTGTGTGTGTGTGTGTGTGTGTGTGTGTGTGTTTGCGTATGTGTGGATACCCTGTCTGATTGGGCCCGTATGTCAGCCAGAGGCAGACCTGACACTCAATGAATCACGGCCTGGGACTCAAGGCCTGCTGTGAGACATTAAGGGGCAAATGCGGTGTGAACCGTGAATGAGATCTTTTTAACTTGTGTGGAAGGATCCATAGCCAAAACTAAAGAGGTTTTTTTTAACTAGTGTGGCAGGAACCAGTCTGGCTAGGGTAGAGCAGAAACGCCGACAAACCGTGACTCTTACCATCTACTATCACATTTCAGGGGGAAGAAGATCAAAACAAGGTGTCTCACGGCTCTTGTCCGTTGACGACCCTGTTCGAGACACCACTATCCTGTTCAATCAAAGGTTGACAGGAAGGAAAACATGCAAGCGTATACAAACTGCAAGCACATTCTCCAGGTGTGCTCAGCCATGACATTAAAAAAACCTCAGCCACTATAAAAGAAAAGAAAATGAAGACGAGGCTTAAGACGGGAAGAATTCCTATCAAGCCACTGAGGAACACTGACCTCTTGTCATGACATGCACGGTGCATTTTGAACCTGCATCATCCCCAGGCTGGCTCTGATATGATGATATCCAGCTCTTGGTTTCTTTTCAGATCAGCTCACGATGCCTCGAGTCTTGCGCGGACTCCAGACATCGGTGACCACGAGGGTCACTTTCCAGTGCAGTGCCAAAACAGAGCTGCTGTTTGATCGAGATGTGGGGAATCTCGCTTCAACAGAACCAGACGTTGACTGAGCAACCCGACCCCCCCGACTCCTTCGTGAACCCACCGGTCTACTCAAACAGGAAACATTCCCCTCTTCGGGAGAAATGGGAAGATCAGAAACACACACATATACACATGTCAGAAGGAGCAACGCATGTAAAAAGATGGTTTCGTGAGGTCGCTCTATTTTCTCTGCTCTGCTCAGACGTTTTGGTCTCTACCACCTCCCAGCTACTTTGCCACAAGGCTACATGCAAAGTTGTCTACGGAGAGTGAAATTTGCCCTCAGCTGTCAATCCACTGTGAGACAAAAGTGCTACACAAAAGCTGCATTGGGTGATAGAATATTTGTTCACCATTTTGACTGAATAAAAGTGTTCCAAACTGGTATTGAGTGGAGGCAAACTTCTTTCTTTCCTGTACAGTGCAGATTTCACAAGCGCTACTAAAGAAGCACCCAGTGCCTGACCCCGGGGTCCCAATGCACACCGGGTCACTGCGAACAAGAGAAATGGTAGCTCCCACCTCTGGCCCCACTTTGACAGCACCAAGATTGACGAGGGGGAGCTTGGTCAAAAGACTCACAGGAGAAAAATAAATACATCCGAAGGCCTTTAGTGACTTAAAGAGACTCAGGAGATGACCCTCTCCTGTCAGACAGGCTCCCAAAGAGCGGCGAGCCAGAGTGTGTTGTGCCAGAGACTCTAACGTCAAGCGTGACTGCCCCACGGCGACTGCCTCCAAACATTGCCAAACACATTTATGCAATTAAAAAGTGCTAAATTGATTCCGAAGGGCAGTTAAACTCCATTTTATCATCACTTGGCCATGGCTCGGACACCCTCTACCTTTACTTCTCAATCAGCCGGCTCCCCTAAATAATGAACACAAGAGGAGTCAAAAGTATGAATTCATACGCTCACAATGAAACTCATTCACAAATGGTGCGTACACACAAATGTCGCTTAAATGGCGTCGATCAACTTTTGAAACACAAGCCTGTCATTCGTCACTATGCTCTTCACTGAATTCCTTCCAACCCTCCCAACAAATTTAGAACCTTAAAATGAATTTTGATTCACTAACATAAGCACGTGATAAAAGAAGAAAAGTGGCTGATGCGTTCGCGTCTTGAATCTGACTGTGATTTTGCGTATTCGCTCATTTCATGTGCAGAGTCAGACAATATCTACACTTTTACAAGTAAATCCATTGTTTTCAAACTGAAACTCTGGTACATTAGGAATGCAATGAAACAATTCTGAGGTTGCAAGCACTAAAAACTGTTCCAGGATAAATGTGTTGCAAGCCCCTGCCAAAACACTCTCCATTACAGACAATTTCATTGATTGTCTGTCTCTTGTAAGACCGGGTTATATCTGAATTGTCATTTCTTGAAAGGCCTGTCGAGACATTACCTCATTGTTACTGTGAAAACTGATTAACCAGGCTTTACGTAAATGACCAAGATTGGAAAATATAAATATCACAGCCATGTTTTATTTTTCTCCTAGAAGAAAAGGTGAAAAGAAAAGACTCGAAATAAGTAAATTTAGCTGTTGCGGCTTTTAATCAGGTGCATTATTTGGAACGAAAACTTCAGTATTTCAAATTAGAAAGGGAAAAACTCCTCTGGCTTTTTACATTCCTGCCTTTGAACATTGTTCAGTCAAGTTCTGTAAACTATGCTAAAAGGCAGATAAAGCCAAAAGCTATGACAGAGGCTGACCTCAGATGACCGTCTGTTGATCTGCGCTTTCCTAACGGGTCAGATCCATGGATGTTTGGGCTGTAGAGCGATGGAAAATGCTCAGGGCACTGGATTGAGCCGTTATCAATCGGGAGTTGAAAAATAAAATGTGAAAATGAGTCATCACCCACCATGTTGTAAATACACCTGCTGTGATCGGACATAACAGGAGCCGGGCTCTTTTTGGAAAACCCCTTTATATTTTTAGAAGTAATAAATGTAGTTTAGAGGGAAGCCGCTACGGCTGCAGCAGACTGGTTCATGTTTCACTCTCGTATTCCGCGGCTACCGTTGGGAGACCAAAGGACATAAAGCTGAGCTGAGACATGAATGAGAGCATAGTCCAAAATTGAGGCACCCAACCAAGCGTTCAGTTTCTATGGCGTAGTTTTCTTCTCCCTTGTGAAATCACTGCAGAGTGTCAGGGGTTGTCACAAGGGCACGTGTACTGTCGGTCACAATTTTTTTTTTGATTCGGCAGGAACGTTCGCTTTCATATTAACGATTCTGGTGCTGAAATTAACCTTCAAAAGGAAGTACGCACCAGTTGTACTTCAATGTGTAAACTGTCGAAAAATTCACTTCTCGTGACCATAATAGTGATTATATATCAATTAATCAAACACAGCGATTGAACACTGGGAAACTGTGATTGCATGATTTCCGAGATGCAAAATGAGTGCATTGCCAAACATTAAGAGTGATTTGCACAAAAATTCAAAACTTAAAAAGCCCCCTTAAGGCTATTTATGTTTCCCCTCTGCAGTTACTGGTAAATACTAAATCACCGCAATGTACCATACCCATTTTAAAATAGATTTATTACATGGTCAATGCTTGACTCATTATTAGGTTTGTCACTGGTATGATCTTCTCATACATTTTTTTAAAAACACGCAACCCCTGTGGTGGAAAGAAAGTTGTGTAAATGGGTCCTTGCTCAAGCATTTGGCACGGCCATTGGTAGATTGCACAACAATTGATATGTTGGAAATGTTTGCGCTGGGCCTGGCGGTTGTGCTAATGAGTGTAAACTCCATTTCACACATGACGATAACAAAAGGCAGCACAGGCCTAATGACTGGGCAGTGCTAGAATTTATCTTGACCGATTACCCTGCGGTGTGAGGTGCAATCTGCAATGAAAACAATTGGGCAGAGCATTGTAAATTTGATCGCCTCACACAGACACATACTAAGGGACAATGTAGACTTAAAATATGTATTCGTTGCACAATCAGGGAGGAACTATGAGAAGCTCCGCTAGCTAATGACAAAGAAACAAGTGGGTGATTTTGCACTTTAGTGGGCAGGATGAGAACATCACGTATGCTGTGGGAAATTTTCCATTTTCACTTTATTGAAAACTACTTCTGATCCAAAAATAATGCATTTGTTCAACATATAGTAACGGGGGACAAAAAAAAGATCTTCCACAAGATGGTAAATAATGTAGTGTACTGACTTTTTACATTTTTGTTTGGGTGGGTACAATGAGATTTGTCAGATTTTTTGACTTGGCTCAATTAAAGTTTGGAAACACTAATCTAGAGGAGGCAGCAAAGCAGCGGATAGAATACGGAAAAAAAGACAAGCCAGATACCAGTGCCTGCGAATCATCTCCACAAACAGGCAGACATAAAACACAAACTGGTTGCCGGGCCGTTTTTTAAAAATTTATTTCCAGACGACATGTCGGGACAACACTTGTGTGCAGGGCTTTACTTCTGACCTTTGGAAATGACAGTCGTCTATATGGGCGACTATCCTGACAGAGGACTGGCGCTAACAGATTAGAGTGTACACAGTCATAACACGGGCCCGCAAAGCCAGCAAGAGAAAGTTGGGAGGCATGCAGGAGACCGGCCAGTCGGGGATGTAAGGGAGAGTAGTGGGGAATTGGAAGCAGGGAGGTGGATGGTGTACAGGGAGGAGGGGTTGGAGGGGCATTCATTCATCCTCATTCATCTTCTCCCCCCTTCAGTTGTTGTTATTTGCTGCTTTGAAGTTGGATGGGGGCCTGCTCGG